TTTCTTTGGTGCTGTTGTAAATGATACTTTTAAAATGTCAATTTCCATTGTTTATTGCCAGTATATAGAAATACTATTAATTTTGTATGTCTGCTTTGTATCCTGAAACCTTGATAAGCTTATTCATTGTTTTAAGAGATATTTTGTAGATTCTTTGAAACTTTCTGTACAATCATGAAGTCTTCCTTAGCTGGCATTATCTACTAAATTTAAAAATGTGACCCAGCACTTTTAGTTTACTTGGTATATTTGCAATATAAATCAGTGCTTATGACCATCAAAAACTATGCAAAAGGTTGTTCATAGCAACTTGTGTTATAATAGCCCGCAAAGTGAAACAACTCAAATGACCATCAGCAGTAAAGAGAATAAATGATTGTGGTATATTTATGTAATAGAATACTAGGCAGCAGTGGAAAAGAATGGACCACTGCTACTTGCAACAGCATGGATGACTTTCAGAGGTGCTGTGTTGAGACAAATAAGCCAGACAAAAATGTGCACATTATGTAATTCCATTTTTATAACGTTCAAAAACAGACAAAACTAATATATGTTATTAGACATCAGAGTAGTTGTCACCCTGGGAAAGGAACACAAGTGGGCCTTCTGTGGTTCTGAAAATGTTTTCAATCTTGATGTGAGTGGCAGTTTCATGGGGATTTTCATATATGAAAATCATGGAGCTGCACACTTAGTATTTGTGCATTATGGATGGGGATGAGTGGAATTGGAGGATCTCACATGGAGATAGTGACCTTGCAGGTCACTGAGGGAGGACAAATAGACAAAGAGAGATGAAGGACAAGAACAGTCCCCTAGGGGGTACCGGCCACCAAAAGTGTCTGGGTAGGAATGATCAGAATAGGAAAAGAACAGGGTTTGCCAAAGGTCCCAGATATTAAAGGAGGAGGAGCTGTCAGAGAGGAAAGGGCTAGCAGTGGTCAGATCCACTCAGAAGTCATCACTGATGAGGACTGGAAAGTGTCCAATAGACTTGGTGGCACCAGCATGAGCAGTAAGCTCCAGCGATGGGTGCAGAGACGTGATTGCCAAGGGATGACGTGCAGCACCAGTAGGGACGGTGAGTGTCAAATATGATTTTAATAAAGCTTCATGAGTCATGAGAGGTATAAAGAGGTTGCAGAGGTGTCTGAGCTAAGGGGAAGGATGAGAGATGTTTGGATATGTTTGAAGGCTAAAGAAAACAAGTTAGGAAAGAGAAAGGTCAAATTCAATGAGAGAGAGGATCCTTGTTCGCAGAGAGTTCTGGAGGAGCCTGGAGGAATGGACGTGGTGGAATTCCAAGCACAGAGTCCTGTTCAGCCTTAAGCGTGATGGAGATGATTCATCTTGTGAAGCTAGAAGGAAGCAGGTGAAGATGAGAGTGCCATGGAGACAAGAAGGTGAAGATATTTCTGTCTGGTGTCTTTACTGAAGTTCGTGATAAGCTGGTTTGCCGATCAGTGAAACAGTTTGGGTGACTTAGTTAAATTCAGTATATATTCAGCAGCCACTAGGTGCCGTGAGCTGAGGCTACAGAGATAACTGAGGTGCAGTCTGTCCTTGAGGCGCACACACACACCTGCCATCATTGTAACGTGGGAAATGCTTTAGTAAAAGCATCCACAGTGGAGGAAAGGCATGCAAGAAGAGTACGTAGATCTGTCCTGGGACTGACACCTGGAATGTACTGGAGGAGAGGAGAGGGGTACATGACAGAGGTGCAGCCAGTAAGCTTTATGAAGAGATTCACTCTGGACATGATGGTGGACTTGTTACAAGAGGAACGCTGGCTTTCTAGGACAAGGGAGGGACCAAGAGGAAGCCAGACTTCTCTTGGCTTGATCTTACAAGCCTCACCATAAGGGTTATCTCGTCTGAGCCTAAGAAGAGGCACAGTTAGCAGTCTTCCAGGAGCTTTGATAAACTCCCTGGTCAGTGGCGGGGAAGTGGTCAGAGGGAGCTTGGAACAGACCAAGGTGATGCTGAGGGCCAGAAATACCAGGG